TATTTGTTAACAAATAAATCTTGACAAGAAATAAAAAAAAGCTCCAGATATAAAATAGACTTTTATAATAAACATACCACACGAATAGGTGCTAATATTAAAAGTGTCGGGAAGTAGAACTGCCGAAATAAATTTAAATATATTATAATTTTTAAAGTTTCGGACTATATTTTGAGGTGTGCGGAAACCGCACAATTTGGAAACTTTTCTATGCGGCAAATAAGGAAAAATTATTTACAAGTATGCACACTACTTACAAATGATAATTTTTTCTGGGCCAAAATTTTGTTTCTGTGTGCCGCACACAGTCCGCACAGCGAAAAATAATCACAGAGTAATCCTACTCTTAAAGTATCAATTTGTACTACCTTGCATAATCATTAAAGATTCGCCAAACTTACTTTTTTTATACATTTAAATGTATCTCAAAATTTTATTACTTTTTGAGATATGAAGTTATGGGACATAGTAAATCATATGTCCCATATTTGATTTTTAAGGTAAAGACCATATGACGATTTTAAAAGTTATGTGACCGCACCTAAAATCGATCAATGGAATTGCAGGTAAGATTCTAAAAAAAAAAAAGATTATAAAAAAGCATGTAAGTTTTTTCAATCGTCAATCTTAGAAGTTGTAGAAGAGAAAATTTCACGAGTTGAGTAAAAAAAAGTTTCGCGATTCTTTAAAGTTCTTTAGAAAATTTTCTAAGAAACTTCAAAGAATCACGAAACTTTCTTTACTTATATTTTGCTATACATTAAGCTGATTTTGATGATTACTATCGTTGGAATTGCAAGTTAGATTGGCATAATAAAAAAATAATTCCGATTAAAAAAACTTTTAGAATCTTACCTCAATTCCGTTGGTCGACTTTAAGTGCGACTGTCACGTAACATCTCAAATATGTAAATTTCGCATCTATGTACCAAAATCTGATTGGCCTTTGTTAAAGTCCATTTCACGTGATATAGTTGAAATCTCGATGTGGATAGATTAGTGGAGCAACCAAAATTCAGCAGTCAAAATTTAGGGTCGTAATAGGCCGGAATTGATAAATTTCTTCCAAAATTTTGTTAATGAAATAGCATCCATGTACTAAATAAAGCTGCCCAGATGGTAATTTTGGTTGACTTGCATTATTGGTCAATGCCGGCCTAGCTCCGGACCTATCCCGACCCTAAATTTTGGTCGATTTGCTGAATTTTGGTTGCAGTGATTAAATTTATTTTTATCAGGTGTTCCGAAAATAATTATAACTAATTGTTTATCCTTCCGAAACTCTCAAGCAATTTGATTGGATCCTCGGCAAATTTTAGGGCAATTCTGTAATTATCCGTGATAAAATCTAATTTCTGCAAGTTCTGCGGTATACCGCATTTTGCAGAAAATCATCCCCCTGATCTCATGCTAGGTAAATTTCACCGGTAAAAATAAAATTGGCCTTCGGTAAGACTTTCGACTTTCAGTAGAACTTATGACTTTCATTAAAACTTCCGATTTCGGACATTTCAGCAAGCCAAATCCCGCCCGAAAATACTTTTGGTAGACTTCGATTTTGGTTGGCATCGAGATTATCTACTTTCCGGAGTCATCCTTACCCCTCATCCTACATCAAAACAACTTTATTACCATTTTACATGGCTCAGGCTAACAGTGTATGATTTTTCAACTATACGAATCAATTTCTATGATCACAAAGCAAATTCACGAATACAAAGTGCAAGGTTCTATCATTATTTTATTGTAAGCCTGAATTTATATTTTCACTTGGGGACGCATACACAATAGTTCAATTCATACCAGCTATTCAAAGCCATTGGATCTACTGTATACAATTTTATTTACTAATCTTGCAATCGTGAATCCATAGCATTGAAAAGTATTGCGAAGCAATTTGGTATGAATTTTTTATATCAAATTTACTAGATTTGGTACCTTCAAGTATAAGGTCTAGTAGCGGGGTCATTAGGCTATCTAGATATATACAAGTAGGTAATTCCCCGCATACAAGATAGTATGCTCCAAAATAGGCTTCAAACGCGTCAGCAATGCGCTTGTTTACTGCTAAAAATTTCATTTTGTTCAGTTTGTGAAGCCCAAGCACAATAGAATATGCTGCCAAAATTTTATTGGTAGCAACACTCTTCACACCTATACATGGGTGCCTAAATTATTTTTGAAAAATCGTATTTTCGGCAAACATTTCGGCATTGCTAAATTTTTTA